CCTGCAGCCGCCGCCGCCGCCACCGACAACAGCAGCCGCCGCCATCGCTGCCGTGTCAGCCGCCGACAGCAGCAGCCGCTGCCGGCGACAACAGCAGCCGCCGCCGCCGCCGACAACAGCAGCCGCTGCCGCGGCTACCGTGTTAGCCGCCGACAGCAGCAGCCGCCGCCGCCGACAGCAGCAGCCGCCGCCGCCGCTGCCGTGTCAGCCACCGACAACAGCAGCCGCCGCCGCCGACAACAGCAGCCGCCGCCGCCGACAATAGCAGCCGCCGCCGCCGCTGCCGTGCCAACCGCCGAAAGCAGCGGCCGCCGCCACCGACAACAGCAGCCGCCGCCGCCGCTGCCCCTGCCCGCCTCGGCCCCCTGGCCCCTGGAGCAGCCGCCCCTGGCCCCTGGACCAGCAGCCCCGGAGCCCTCGCCCTGCGGTGGTAGCGGCCTCGCCATTGCCGCTATCGTCCACCTGCCCTTCTTGCCACTGGTGAGCGTTGTTATTGCTGTTACTGCTGCTCTTGCTGCTACTGCTCTTTCTACTACTACTACTGCTCCTGGCGTGGCCAGATGCAGTTCCAGCGCCGTCCGCGTGAGTCCCTCACCCCCCATCAGCTTCGTGAGTGGTATGCTAGTTGGGGTTGTAGGGGTGACCGCGCTGCCACTACTGCTACTGCTTCTCCTGACGGTGACCAGAAGCAGCTCCAGCGACGTCCCCGTGAGTCCCTCACGCCCCATCAGCTTCGTGAGTGGTACGCTACTTGGGGTTGTCGGGGTGGCCGTGGTGGGAGTCGTCCTAGAGTGAGTAGTTCGGGAGCTGCTTGTAGTGGCCAGGTGCAGTTGCAGCGTCGTCCGCGCGCGGTCCTTTCGCCCCAGCACCTTCGTGAGTGGTACGCTCAGCGTGGAGGGTCACGGGGTACTGCTCGCTGTCCGTACGTCATTCGCACTGGTGCTCGGACTGGTCAGCCTTGCGGGACGTTCGGTCACACAGAGTCCTGTTATTTTGCCCGTCTGAGCAACGCCTCGCGTACGGAGTTTGGCGACGCGGCTGAGCTCCCCGACTGGGTGCAGCTGCTTGGGCAGAGGGTGGATATCTATACTCTTGACTGTGATGCTATCCTCACTGCCATATATGCATTGCCTACTAGTGATGAGGGTGACTATTCCCTGTGTGTTCCGCCTAACCCGGGCATTGAGGCTGCTGCTCTAGGTGCTGGTGAGGCATCTGCTCTAGGAGCCATTGCGTCTGCTGCTCCAGGTATTGGTGAGTCTGCTGCCCCAGGTGCTAGTGTGTCTGCTCTCTCAGGCACCACGTCGGCTCAGGTTTTGCACACCTTCACCCTCCACTCGGGTGCTTCCTGCTCCTTCTTTCGAGACCGCACCACACTCACGCCGCTTAGTCAGCCGGTTGCAGTCTCCTTGGCAGACCCCTCTGGGGGTCCTATCATTGCCCACTTCTCCACTGTCTTACCGTGTCCGGCGGCCCCTTCTGGCACATTGTCATGTCTTTACCTCCCCTCGTTCTCTACGAACTTCGTGAGTGGTGCCGACCTACAGGATGGAGGGGTTGACCAGTTCATTCCTTCGAGTCAGCGAGTGACCCACTGTACGTGTGCTCGGACGGGCCGACACTTGGCCACGTTTACCCGTCAGCCGGGGTCGAGCTTGTACACATTGACTACTGAGTCTCCTCTGGTTGCTGCGTATGCTCAGGTAGCTGCGTCGGGTCAGGTGTTTGCTGCAGCGTCCAGGTCTGGTCCTGAGTCTGCCCCCTGTTCGTGTCGTCTCCTGTCTCACGAGACTCTCCTCTAGCACCACCGCCTTGGTCACCCCTCCCTGCCTCGTCTCCGAGGCATGGCCTCTCGTTTCCTTGTCTCTTGTCTCCCTCGGTCCCTCCCTCCTCTTCCTCCGGGGCCTGCCCCCACCTGCGTTCCCTGCGTCGAGGGACGGCAGCACGCCGCTCCTCGCTCCTCCGAGTTTCCTCTGACAGAGGCTCCACTCGAGACGCTTCACATGGATGTGTGGGGCCCCGCCCGCGTCCGTGGACAGGATCACGAGCGTTACCTCCTGTTGGTGGTTGACGACTACTCGCGTTACACCATGGTCTTCCCCTTGCGCAGCAAGGGTGAAGTCACTGAGGTGTTGATCGACTGGATCCTTGCAGCTCGTCTCCAGCTTAGAGAGAGTTTCGGCTCGGACTTTCCTGTTCTGCGTCTGCACTCCGATAGAGGCGGTGAGTTTTCCTCTGACCTTCTGCGAGCCTTCTGTCGTGCACAGGTCACCCGCCAAACGTTCACGCTTCCAGCCTCTCCATAGCAAAATGGGATTGCTGAGCGCCACATTGGCATGGTCATGGACGTCGCTCGTACGTCCATGATCCATGCGGCTGCTCCCCATTTTCTGTGGCTGTTCGCGGTTCAGTACGCGGCGCATTAGATCAACCTTCAGCCGCGTGTCTCCTTGCCGGAGACCTCCCCTGCTCTGCGGTGGACGGGAAAGGTTGGCGATGCGTCTGCGTTTCGTGTCTAGGGATCTCGAGCTTTTGTCCGCGTCTTGTCTGCGGACAAGCTGTCCCCCCGTGCTGTTCCCTACGTCTTCCCCCCTGACGCGCGTGGTTGGCAGTTTTACCACCCCACCTCGCGCCGTGTTCTGTCCTCCCAGGACGTCACGTTTGACGAGTCGGTCCCCTTCTATCGTCTCTTCCCCTATTGCATTGCCCCGCTCCCCCCTCCGCCGCTCTTCCTCATGCCAGGTGCTGCCTTGGTAGACCCCTTGCCTCCCCAAGGTCCTGCTCCCTCAGTTGTTTCCCAGGTAGACCCGATCGAGCCTGTCCAGGTGTCTGACAACTCTGGTCTTGCGCAAGGTACTGAGCGTGCTGAGCCTCGTGGTGCTGGGTCTGGAGGTACTGCGACTAGGGGTGCTGAGCCTGGGGGTGCGGAGACCGGGGGTGCTGAGCCTGGGGGTGCAGAGACTGCAGGTGCTGAGCCTGGGGGTGCTGGGTCTAGAGGTCTTGAGCCTGGGGGTGCTGTGCTTTGGGGCGCTCTCTCTTCCCAGCAGCAACGTGAGTGGTACTCTCGGTACGGTCGCAGCCTCCGTGGTGCTACTGGAGCTGGAGCTGAGGGTGCTGACCCTACAGGAGTTGGTGTTGCTGCTGACCCTGGGGTCGGCGCTAGAGGTGCTTGAGCCACTGGTCATGGAGGTGCTCATACTGGCGGTACTGGAGCTGCTGGGACTAGGGGTGCTGCCACGCGCAGCCTCAAAGTATGTAATATCAGTTGAGTCTGCTCCGAGGGTAATACCCCGCCGGCTTCCGCACTGTTAGCGGCGGAGTTGATGCGGTACCACAGAAGTCGATAGATAATGACATATCTGTCTTTGACAATGTCGAAACAAGACTCGACGTTTACGTCGGAAGGGTTGCGTAGAGTTGTATCTCTTGTATTAGAAACATTATGTTAGAAACATTAAGATAGAGTACATACATTATAATTATATTTTGCTTATAGAAGCAATTAATTAAGTTCTTTATTTTTACTTAAAACAGGTCAGGCTCAATAGTTCCCTATTATGAAGCGAAATGTTCTATAGATTTTGCATCCCCTCAAAGTTGTCAATTAATTGTGGAACAACGTGGACATGTATGCTCTTTTTGTGATTTTTATAAACATGAATTGTTTTCACCAACAGCTTAACTCCATTGTTCTTTCAGGTTATTATAGCGGGTTGGGCATTTGGCATCGCTGAATGCCCTCCTCTTGTGCTGGCATAAGGGCGTGCTACATTTTTTGAAGTCGCTGAAAGTCCGGACAGCTGTCTGGACACGTGCGAAAATTGCGACGTCGTACGGTCGTGTTGCGACCAATTCAATGTCGTAAGGAGGCAATACGAAGAATGCGACGTCGTTTAGACCCTAACGAACTCAATGCCGAGATTTAACGAGTTCAGTAATCACACAATTGTCCGGACGGCTGGACGTCAGGACCAAAAAAATGAAAAATGTAACACACCCTAAATTTTCTCGCTCTTCTGGCAGAAATTTTCTCGTTCTGCGCTGGCATCCATCTCTTTCACAGCTTGAATGCGGCGCTGTCTTTTCTTGGTTTTTGTTCTTGAATCTTCTCGACAAGAACCTGCTCTGCTCCTACTCCTTTTCCTCCCCTCCCCCCCACCCCTTCTCGCCAGTTCTTCTCCCACCTAGCCGTCGCTCTCGCTCCATCCAGCCGTATCCTCTCCCTCACTACCCGCTAACACCTCTCCAACCCACCTCACAATCACTCCGTCCCATCCACCCCGCCATCTCCTCTCCCTTACCTCCCGGCCGTCGCCTCCCTCCTCCTCGCCGTCGCCTCCCTTCTCCCCGCCGTCGCCTATCCTCCTCCCCACCGGCGCATCTCCCTCCGCCGTCGCCTCTCCCTCCTCCCCGCCGTCGCCTCCCTCCTCCCCGCCGTCGCCTCTCCTCCTCCCCGCCGTCGCCTCTCCTCCTCCCCGCCGTCGCATCTCCTCCTTCCCGGCCGTCGCCTCTCTTCCTCCCCGCCGTCGCCTTTCCCTCCTCCCCCCGGTCGCCTCTCCCTCCTCCCCGCCGTCGCCTCTCGCTCCTCCCCGCGGTCGCCTCTCCCTACTCCTCGCCGTCGCCTCTCCTTCCCTCTCCGCCGTCCGGCGACAGGTGCACGAGCGCAAGCGCGGATTGGTACGCGAGCGCGGATTGTTTTATCATGCACCGTGGTTATCAGGTGCGTTCCTGGTCCTTCCGTCCTCCCTTCCCCCTTATGAAATTTCCGTCCTGTTTTGTTTTGTTTTGTTTTGATTTTTTTTTTCTCTCCAATGCGTCGATTGATCTCCACTTTCATTTGAAGAAGAAAGAGATGGAGCGCAAGGGAGAGCGTGTGCGCATATGAGAGCGTGTGAGAGAGCGCGTAAGAGAGCGCGTGAGAGAGCGCGTGAGAGAGCGCGTGAGGGAGCGCATGACAGAGCGCGTGAGGGTGCGCGTGAGAGAGCGCGTGAGAGAGCGCGTTAGAGAACGCGTGAGCGAGCGCAAGAGAGCGCGTGCGTGAGAGCGCGTGAGAGAGCACATGAGAGAGTGCGTGAGAGAGCGCGTGAGAGAGCGCGTGAGAGAGCGCGTGAGAGCGCGTGAGAGAGCGCGTGAGAGAGCGCGTGAGAGAGCGCGTGAGAGAGCGCGTGAGAGAGAGAGAACGCGGTGAGAATGCGAGAGAGAGAACGAGAGAGAGAGAGAGAGAGAGAGAGAGAGAGAGAGAGAGAGAGAGAGAGAGAGAGAGAGAGAGAGAGAGAGAGAGAGAGCGTGAGAGTGTGCCTGAGAGTGCGCCTTGAGAGAGCGCTTGAGAGAGTGCGTGAGAGAGCACGAGAGGGCGCATGAGAGCGCGTGAGAGAGCACATGAGAGTGTGCGTGAAAGTGCGCGTGAGAGTGAGCATGAGAGAGCGCGTGAGGGAGCGCATGTGAGTGCGTGTGAGAGCGCGAGAGAGAGAATGCGTGTGATAGTCCGCGAGAGAGAGAATGTGGTGAGAGTGCGCGAGAGAGAGCGCGAGAGGGAGTGCGTGAGAGTGTGCCTGAGAGTGCGCGACGGAGCGCGTGAGGGAGCGTGAGAGAGCGCGTGAGAGTGCGCATGAGAGAGCGGGTGAGAGAGCGCGTGTGAGAGCGCGTGAGAGAGCATGTGAGGGAGCGTGTGAGGGTGCGCGTGAGAGAGTGTTTGAGAGGGAGAATGTGCGTGAGAGTGCGCGAAAGAAAGGACGTAAGAGAGAGAATGCGTGTGAGAGAGCGCTTGAGAGAGAGAATGTGCGTGAGAGTGCACGAGAGAAGGACGTAAGAGAGAGAATGCACGTGAGCGTGCGGGAAAAAGAGCGCAAAAGAGAGCGCCTGAGAGTGCCCCTAAGAGTGCGCCTTGATAGAGCGCGTGAGAGAGCGCGTGAGAGAGCGCGTGAGAGTGCGCGTGAGAGAGCGCGTGAGAGTGCGCGTGAGAGAGAGAACGTGGTGAGAATGCACGAGAGAGAGTGCGAGAGAGAGAGTGCGAGAGAGAGAGAGTGCGTGAGAGTGTGCCTGAGAGTGTGCCTTGAGAGAGCGCGCGAGAGAGTGCGTGAGAGAGTGCAAGAGGGCGCATAAGAGCGCGTGAGAGAGCGCGTGAGAGAGCACAGGAGAGAGTGCGTGAAAGTGCGCGTGAGAGTGAGCATGAGAGAGCGCGTGAGGGAGTGCATGTGAGTGCGCGTGAGAGCGTGAGAGAGAGAATGCGTGTGATAGTTTGCGAGAGAGAGAGAATGTGGTGAGAGTGCGAGAGGGAGAGAGAGAGAGAGAGAGAGAGAGAGAGAGAGAGAGAGAGAGAGAGAAAGAGAGAGAGAGAGAGAGAGAGAGAGAATGTGGTGAGAGTGCGCGAGAGAGAGCGAGAGAGGGAGTGCGTAAGAGTGTGCCTGAGAGTGCGCAAGGGAGCGCGTGAGGGAGCGTGAGAGAGTGCATGAGAGAGCACGTGTGTTGCGGTATCCTATTTTTGCTTTCTTGTACACAGTGTAGGAACATGCACTGATTTTTGTGCAATGTGTGTTTTGCTTCGTTGTGTACGGCGTGTGTGTGTTGACTTCCCTGTTTTGACTTTGTGCAGGACGTGTGTGTGTTGACTTCTCTGTTTTTGCCTGGGCGTGTGTGTGTTGACTTCACTGATTTTGCTTTTGTCAGATGATAATATTACTGATGCATATATTTAGGCTGTAGTGGGGTAGCCCATAGGGGGTACAACCCAATTAGGGTTGGTACTTGTACTTGTTTCATTTCATAGTGTACTCATTTCCTCGCCTCTATCTCAACATGGTATCGAGCAGGTTCCCTAGTGGGAACTGTTCCTAGGGCCCACCTACTATTCCGTCCTACCCGGAGCGCGCTCTGCCCTAGCCCGAGTCGCGCTGGGCCTTTTTTTTCCTTTGGCGGCCCGATCGTGTCGAGCCGCCCGCGATTTTTTTTGCGCGCCACCTACGCGGCCTCCTCGCGCCGCCCCTAGACGGCCGCGCCGCGTCGCGCGTGCCGCTTTCCAGTCGCGCGCCACCCCCTCTGACCCTCGCGACGCTGGCGCCGTCTCTGACGGCCCCGCGATCGCCTGCGTCGGCCCCGCCGTCCCCTCTACCGGCCCCTCCACTGCACTTGACGGCCCCGCCGTCCCCTCTGCCGGCCCCGCCGCTGCACTTGACGGCCTCGCCGTCCTCTCTGCCGGCCCCGCCGCTGCACCCGACGGCCCCGCTGTCCCCTCTGCCGGCCCCGCCGCTGCTTCAGACGGCCCCGCCGCTGCACCTGACGGCCCCGCCGTCCCCTCTGACGGCCCCGCCGCTGCACCTAACGGCCCCGCCGTCCCCTCTGACGGCCCCGCCACTGCACCTACCGGCCCCGCCGCTACCCCTGACGGCCCCGCTGCTGCACCTGCCGGCCCCGCCGCCTCATCTGCAGGCCCCGCCGTCTCACCTGCCGGCCCCGCTGCTGTACCTGACGGCCCCGCCACTTCACCTACCGGCCCCGCCACTACCCCTAACGGCCCCGCAGCTGCATCTCCCGGCCCCGCCGCCCCAGCATCTGCGCCGCCCCAGCAGCCGAGCCGCCCCAGCAGCCGAGCCGCCCCAGCAACCAAGCCGCCCCAGCAGCCGAGCCGCCCCAGCAGCCGAGCCGCCCCAGCAGCCGAGCCGCCCGAGCCGCCCGAGCCGCCGAGCCGCCCGAGCCGCCCAGCAGCCGAGCCGCCGAGCCGCCCGAGCCGCCCGAGCCGCCCGAGCCGCCCGAGCCGTCTGCACTGCCCTGTCTGGTGAGCACTGAGCTTTACTCTACGCGCTGCCCTCACCCTACTGCTGTCATGGCTACCCCCAGTGTCCTCACCTTCGACGCTGAGGGCAGAGCCATCGACTTTGACGTGTGGGTAGACGACCTGCTGCTTTTCCTACAGTGCGATAGAGCTGACGGCCTCTCTCTCTTTGATCTCACTTCTGGTGCCTCTCCCGCCCCTGCTGCTACTGAGGATGCCACTGTTTGCTCACAGTGGGCCACACGTGATGCTGCTGCACGTCTTGCTGTGCGTCGCCACCTCCCTCCCTCTGAGCGTGCACACTTTGGGTCGTACAAGAGTGCTCAAACCTTGTACGACGCCGTTATTGCACGCTACTCCACCCCTGCCACTGCTGCACTGAGCCGCCTCATGCTACCGTACCTCTTTCCCGACCTTGCTTCTTTTGCCACAGTCGCCGACCTCATTACCCACCTGCGCACTAGTGACGCTCGCTTCCGCGCTGCGCTTCCTGCTGAGTTCTGCGCCAAGAACCCCCCCCCCCCCCCAGTACTTCACTCTCTACTACATTGTCGCCCGCCTCCCTAACTCCCTTCGCGGAGTCAGGGACGACTTACTCTCAGTCTGCCCCACCACTCTCACTGTTGACCTCCTCGAGAAGTCCCTCCTAGCAGCCGAGAAGAGCATTCTCGCTGTAGGGGCCTCTCGTGGTGACCCGCGCACCCCCATCTTTGAGGGGTGTTCCCCCTCCCCCCTCCTGCCCTCTGTCGCCTCTGCTGCTACGGCCGACCTAGTTGGTTTTGAGTCGGTCGGTGCGGCGTCTGCCCCCAGTGGGAGACGTCGCTCTGGCAAGGGCAAGGGGGGTAGGAGCGGTGGTGGCGGCGGCGGGGGCGGTGGAGGCGGCGGTGGAGGCGGCGGAGGAGGTGGGGGTGGTAGCAGGAGTGGTGGCGGGAGTGGAGGTGTCAGCGGCGGCAGTGGAGGCGGGGGTGGCAGCGGCGGTGGTGGTGGGAGTGGAGGCGGAGGCGGCGATGGCGGCAGCGACGGTGGGAGTGGCGGTGGCAGCGGAGGTGGTGGCGGCGGCGGCGGAGGAGGCGGTGGAGGAGGTCGTGGCTCGTCGCAGAGGAGTGGCTCCGGTGGCGGTCAGCACCAGCAGCAGCGGCAGCAGCGTGGTCAGGAGACCCTCTCCCCGCAGCAGCTCCGTGAGTGGTACGCTGCACGTTAGAGGGGTGGGGGTACTGGTCCGTGTACCTACGTCTTGCGCACTGGCGACCGTGCGGGTGAGCCTTGTGGTGGTCCACACTCTGCCCAGCGCTGCTTTGGCTGCCTGACTGACGCTTGGCGCCGCCAGTTTCGTGACGCCTCTGAGATCCCTCGCTGGGACCAGCTATCTAGGGCAAGAGTAGCTATCCTTGATCTTGACTTTGATGCTATTCTTGCTGCCATGTATGCTGTGACTATTAGTGAGGAGGGTGACTGTTACCGGTGTTTCCCGCCCGACCCGGGCATCGGTACTGCGGCTCTAGGTGCTGTTGAGGCTGCTGCTCCAGGTGCTGGTGAGGCTGTCGCTCTAGGTGCCAGTGAGTCTGTGTCCTCAGGTGCTGGTGAGTCTGCTCTCTCTGGTACTGCGTCGGCTCCGCCCTCTCTCACCTTCACTCTTGACTCAGGGGCGTCTCGCTCCTTCTTTCGAGACCGCACCACACTCACGCCGCTTAGTCGGCTAGTGGCGGTCTCCCTGGCGGACCCCTCTGGGGGTCCTGTTCTGGCTCGCTACTCCACTGTCCTGCCGTGCCCTGCGGTCCCGTCTGGCGCCCTGTCCGGTCTCTACCTCCCCTTGTTCTCTACGAACTTGGTGGCGGGTGCTGACCTACAGGATGCAGGGGTCGACCAGTTCACCCCTGCACACCGACGGGACACCCACTGCACGGACGCGGACACGGGTCGACACTTGACCACGTTCACACGTGGGCCGGGGTCGAGCCTGTACACACTCACTGTTCCGTCTCCTCCTCATGCGTCTGGTCAGGTAGCTGCGTCGGGTCAGGTGTTTGCTGCAGCGTCCAGGTCTAGTCCTGAGTCTGCCCCCTGCTCGTGTCGCCTCCTGTCCCACGAGACCCTCCTGTGGCACCACAGGATGGGTCACCCCTCCCTGCCTCGTCTCCGGGGCATGGCCTCTCGCCTTCTTGTCTCTGGCCTTCCCCGGTCCCTCCCTCCCCTTCCTCCGGGGCCTGGCCCTCCCTGTGTCCCCTGTGTCGAGGGTCGCCTGCGGGCTACCCCTCACTCCTCCCCGTTTCCTCCGACGGAGGCCCCGATGCAGACGCTTCACATGGACGTGTGGGGCCCAGCCCGCGTCCGTGGACAGGGTCACGAGCGCTACTTCCTGCTGGTGGTTGACGACTACTCGCGTTACACCACAGTCTTCCCCTTGCGCAGCAAGGGTGAGGTCACTGGGGTGTTGATCGACTGGATCCGCGCAGCTCGTCTCCAGCTCAGGCGGAGCTTCGGCTCGGACTTTCCTGTTTTGCGGCTGCACTCGGACAGAGGCGGAGAGTTCTCCTCCGGCCTTCTGCGAGCCTACTGTCGGGCACGAGGCATCCGCCAGGCCTTCATGCTTCCGGACTCTCCACAGCAGAATGGGATTGCTGAGCGCCGCATCGGCATTGTCATGGACGTCGCCCGTACGTCCATGGTGCATGCGGCTGCCCCCCATTTTCTGTGGCCGTTTGCGGTTCGGTACGCCGCGCATCAGATCAACCTTCAGCCCAGGGTCTCCAGACCGGAGACCTCCCCAGCTCTGCTGTGGACGGGGAAGGTTGGCGATGTGTCGGCGTTCCGTGTCTGGGGATCTCGGGCGTTTGTCCGCGACTTGTCTGCGGACAAGCTGTCCCCTCGTGCTGCTCCTTGCGTCTTCCTGGGTTTCCCCCCTGACGCACCTGGGTGGCAGTTTTACCACCCCACCTCTCGTCGTGTTCTGTCCTCCCAGGACGTCACGTTCGACGAGTCGGTTCCCTTCTACCGGCTCTTCCCCTACCGCACTCCGTCCCTTCCCCCCCCGCCCCTCTTCCTGGTCCCAGGTCCCCCCCCGGTAGACCCCCTCCCCCCTCAGGGTCCTGCCCCTTCAGGTGTGTCTCAAGTAGACGCGGTCAAGCCTGTCGAGGTCACTGGTGACTCTGGTGCTGCTGCGGGTGCTGAGCCTGGGGGTGCTGAGACTGGGGGCGCTGAGCCTGGGGGTGCTGAGACTGGGGGTGCTGAGCCTGGGGGTGCTAAGCCTGGGGGTACTGAGCCTGGGGGTGCTGAGACTGGGGGTGCAGAGCCTGGGGGTGCTGAGCCTGGGGGTGCTGTGCCTGGGAGTGCTGAGCCTGGAGGTACTGCGTCTGGGAGTGCTGCGCCTGCTGCTTCTGTTCCTGGTGGTTCTCCAGACCGTTCCTCGCGCCGCGAGCCGTTCTCTCCTCTGGAGCTGCGTGAGTGGTTTGCCCGGCGCTGGAGGCGAGCTGCTGGAGGTGGGGTTACTGCGGATGCTGGAGGTTCCGTTGCTGCCGAGGGAGCTGGTACCACGGGTCCCGGAGGTGCTCGTACTGAGGGTACTTGGGCTGCCGGGCCCAGGGGTGCCTCTGGAGCTGGAGCTGCTGCGGGTGCTGGCGCTGAGGCTACGACTGTCGGTCCTACTGCGGGTACTTCTGCAGCTGCTGGTGGTGCTGGACTTGGAACTGCTACTGGTGCTGGTGCTGCCTCTGGAGGTGTTGGTGCTGTCCCTGCTCTCTCTGGCGGTGCTGCGCGGCCTCGGCCGTACTTCGTTCCGCTTCTTGAGTAGGTTCTTGGTCTCCCGCCTTCCACTGGTCCTTCTCCTCCCGTGGAGTGTCCGCAGCCTGTCCCGTCACAGTCACAGTTACAGCCCGCCTCTCCCCTGCCTTCTTCTTCTCCCTACGCTGGTCCTACTGGAGGTCTTGCTGAGCGTCGTGAGCCTGCGTCCCGCCCTGCGTCGCCAGTCCGAGCTGCTCGCCCTAGTGGTCGCGGTTCGCGTCAGCGTCCTCCTCCTGTCCCTGGCACGCACCAGATGTCTCTGCGTCCGTCCACTGCTCCTCTGCGTGCCCCTTTGCCTTCTCCTCCTTGGTCTTCTCTTCCTATACTTGCCGACCCGGAGTCGGACTCTCACCGTGCTGCCAGTCCTACTGTCACGCGTCTTCTTGCTTCTCTTGTCACTGACCCTTCCTTTGAGTCCGCTGTTGCGTCTGCCCTAGTTGCTGAGCTGGTCGACTTTGCTGCTGCGTGTCGTCTGGACTACGCTGCCAGTCTTGTTGCTGAGTCTGCTAAGTCTGCTGAGTCTGCGTCTGCTGCGTCTGCGTCTGCCTGTCCTCCGTCCGTCGGGGGTGACTGTGCTCTTGGCACGGACGTCCTTGAGGACAGGCAGGAGGAGTTCCAGTGCTTTGCCGCCGCTTTGCCCCATCTCGTGCCCATGCTTGTTGCCCCTGAGGGAGACCCGGATGCTCTAGACATCCCGACTCCACGCTCTTACGCAGAGGCGATGGCCGGTCCCTACTCCTCTCAGTGGCAGTCAGCCATGGACGCAGAGATGGCTTCCTGGAAGTCCACAGGCACCTACGTTGACGCTGTTCCCCCTCCTGGGGCGAACATTGTCAGTGGCATGTGGATCTTCAGGGTGAAGCGGCCGCCGTGTTCTCCGCCTGTCTTCAAGGCGCGCTACGTGGCTCGTGGCTTCAGTCAGCGACAGGGAGTTGACTTCTTTCAGACCTTCTCCCCGACCCCGAAGATGACCACTCTTCGGGTTCTACTTCATGTCGCTGCTCAGTGTGACTACGAGCTACACTCTGTTGACTTCAGCACTGCTTTCCTGCAGGGCCGCCTGCACGAGGAGATCTGGCTGCGCCGCCCTCCTGGCTTCACTGGGTCGTTCCCTCCTGGTACCCAGTGGAGCCTCCGGCGGCCAGTCTACGGTCTCCGCCAGGCGCCGCGTGAGTGGCACGACACACTGAGGACTACACTTGCGGCTCTTGGGTTTGCTCCTTCTACTGCTGACCCGTCGCTGTTTCTGCGCACCGACACCTCGCTGCCGCCTTTCTACATCCTCGTGTACGTCGACGACTTGGTCTTTGCCACTGCGGACACTGCCGCACTCGCCCACGTGAAGTCCGAGCTGCAGAAGAGACACACGTGCACAGACCTGGGTGAACTGACAAGCTATCTTGGCTTGCGGATCACCCGGGACAGAGCACGCCGCACCATTACCCTGACTCAGTCACACATGGTGCAGCAGGTCCTTCAGCGCTTTGGCTTCACGTACTCCTCGCCTCAGTCCACTCCTCTGCCTACGGGACACTCGCTTTCAGCTCTGCCTTCGGATGAGTCCGTAGAGTCGAGTGGTCCGTATCCAGAGCTTGTGGGCTGCCTCATGTACCTGATGACTTGCACTCGACCTGACCTCGCATACCCTCTCAGCATCTTAGCACGCTCTGTTGCTCCCGGCCGTCACCGGAAGGAGCACATGGATGCAGCTAAGAGGGTGTTGCGCTACTTGTGCATTACGTCGGGCATGGGGCTAGTGCTTGGAGGGCGTGAGCGGCCTGTGCTCACTGGGCACTCAGACGCTTCTTGGGCTGACGACCAGGCTACTCAGAGGTCGTCTCAGGGTTACACCTTCAGTCTTGGCTCTGGCTCTGTCTCTTGGCGCTCTACTCGCTCTTCTTCGGTTCTCAGCTCCAGCTGTGAGGCTGAGATCTACGCCACGGCCATGGCTGCCCAGGAGCTTCGCTGGCTCACCTACCTGCTGACTGACCTTGGAGAGCGGCCTCGTTCTCCTCCAGTGCTGTACGTCGACAACAAGGCAACCATTGCCTTGTGTGAGGAGCACAGACTGGAGCACAGGACGAAGCACATTGCTTTGCGCTACTTCCTTGCTCGAGAGCTGCAGCAGCGTGGTCAGCTTTGCCTGCGTTTCGTGGCCACTGAGGCCAACACTGCTGATGTGTTCACCAAGGCACTTCCGCCTCGTGACCATCAGCGCTTTTGCACTCTGCTAGGCCTTGTGCCCACTGGGCCTCACTTGCTTACCTCTTGACCTTGCTTGTACTGCTGCATATATATATCCTTGCTCTTGCTTGTTTAGCACTGTTATATATATATATATGCTCTGCTGCATGTGAACTGGCCTTGTGGCCTTGACCTTGTGCTCGGAATTTGTGTGGTATCCTTGAGATCCACCCTAAGCTTGCTTTGATTTGCTTTGCTTTGCTTTGCTTGACTGGTCTTGTGACCCCTTGCTCTCCCCCACTTTGCCTATGGGGGTGTGTCAGATGATTATATTACTGATGCATATATTTAGGCTGTAGTGGGGTAGCCCATAGGGGGTACAACCCAATTAGGGTTGGTACTTGTACTTGTTTCATTTCATAGTGTACTCATTTCCTCGCCTCTATCTCAACAGCTTTGTGCAGGGCGCGTGCGTGAGCTGAGAAGGGAGATGGGGGAGTGGGATGGAGATGAGGGAACGAGGGAGGGAGGGTTGTAGGGAGGGTAAGGTGGGATAGGTTAGGAATTACTTATTCTGAATTTTATTTATGACGGTTGTGTGTTTATTACGGTATCTGTATTTCTCTGTGCTTGTTTGCGTGTGTGTGCATGTCTGTTCGTTGTGTTTGTTTCACTGTGCGGTTGCTCTTCGATCCATTCATAACCGTTACGCGGTGTTGTACATTTTTTACGTGCGATTGCATTCGTGTTTGTGGGATTTGTGTTTCAAAGTGTGGTGTTATTGTGTGTTATGTATGCAATTAAAGGTTGTTAATCGTCTTTGGGGCAGCGGGTTTCCGCTGTTTCAACAACCCCATCAACCTCTATTGCTGCATGATGCATTTTAATATTCATTTTTAAGCATCCATTCTACCTCATACCTTGTTGTTCATTTGTTCATGTTGATGCCAGAATTTTATGCTCGGCCGTACGATCCGCCGTATTTATCGACGAGGTTGGGACGGTCGAGCAAGTTCATGGTTTCAACATGATACGTACGTGCGTTCCAGTATTTGGTTTTACATATGGGGATGTCATTCAAGGGTGATTTTTATCCATTATTTGAGGCATCCGTTTGAACAGTCTCAAAACATTCAAAACAGGTGCTCCAAAAAGTGCGTAAATACACTCTTGAAATGATATCCCCAAAATGTGAAACCAAATATAAAGGGTTGCTACGCAACCTAAAAATCAAGTCGCCATCACCCTCGCTTATGGTAATACGCCTAGAAAAACTCTCGTCGTCGCGAATTTTACTGAAGAAGCGACACGTGTGTCCTGAAAAAAAGCTTGGAAAGGTGGAACTACGTGCTACGCCAACCTTGTAAGGAAACCAAGTGCACTCGAAATCAAACCATTCAGTATTTTGTGCGCTGGACGGGTTTCCACACACGAGAGTCGAAGACATCGCCCCAGTTGTTACAAAGGATCATTTCGTCACTGAGACATGAACCGACACTTTTGCATGGGTTACCTAAACTCAATACCAGCGAAACCTTCGCGGAGTGATTTGAAAACCAAAGGGTCATCGCTTATGGAAAGACCCGCCTTGGGCTTCTCCCATGTGTCAGCTGTATTTCTGTTACCACAAGCTGTTGGGGGTTGCGTTGGTTTTGGAGCACGCCCCAATTGCTTCCGTCCTAACTTGCCATCTCCCAGGCTCCGAGCCCTTCGTTGCGGGGAATACGTGGCTGAGCAGAGAACGTAGACGAGTGAAGATAGGGCAAGGAGAGGAGATAGCTGCCGCAGCCATCATCTGCTAAGGTCTTCTTTTCCAACATTTCTACAACCATACCTAGAACCTGAGGTACTATGGCGTGTTTGCATATCAATAGCCTTCCTGAGGAGCTACTCATTGCCGTTTTCTGGCCCTCCAAGCGTCTCTTCTCTCGCGAGCCTTTCGATGAGGATGTGTGGGCCGCCGTGCGGCCTCCCCCGAGGTTCAATAGCGAGGATCCAGACGAGGCATGCTACCAGCAGAGCGAGACCATGTTTCCAGCTCCTCCTCTTCCCCCAGCATTCGCCGACGCCGCGTACAATCTTCTCATCGCGTCGACTTGCCGTCGCTGGCGCTGCCTGGCTCGGCGCCACGTGTCCACGCTCCTTGTCAAGTCGAACCGCGCCGTGTCTCTCAAGGATCTCGCGGCAGCGGTGGATTGCTTCCCCAAGCTCACGCACCTCCATCTCAGCGACGGAAGCGCGCAAGCCATCGACGACACTTTCCTAGCTCGCCTCGCCGCGTGCTGCCCGAATCTGACGGCGTTCCACCTCGGAAGGCCGATAGTGGAGAACCCTGAGTCCGACCAGGCGGGGGAGACCTTTCTCACGCCAGCCGGCTTCGACGTGTTCTTCCGCCGGTGCACGCGGCTGGAGCACCTCTCGCTGGCCTGCCTGCACTGCGAGTTCCGGTTACCTTCTTCGCTCTTCAAGCTCGTGCATCTCCGATCCCTCACAGTTGCCGATCTGCCCGTGGTAACAACTCCAAAAGTCAAGAACTTGAGCGCTCTCACATTGCTCTGGATCGACTCGGTGGGGGACTATCAGACCCTGGAGCACCTCGCGCACCTGCCACGCCTCACGCATCTCTCCGTGCCAGAAGACGTCTCTCCTTGGCAATACCACTCCGCCTCTCCTCCCTTCTCATTCGCACGCCTATCTTCGCTCAAGTCGCTGAATCTCGGGAAAGCCTGCCCGCCGTTCGATGAGATGTTTCCTCCCGAGTCACCGTGCAGCCTGCTCGAGCGTTGGCGATTTTCCAGTGCGACGACTTCCACACTGTCCTGGACGACACCTGCCATCGCATGCCGTGTCTCCACGAGCTGAGCATCGATGCGAGCGGTACCTTCTTCGACGTACCCGAGCAGGCCACCGCGCTGACCCGCCTGCGCACCTTGAAGCTCGAAAACTGCACGGTCCTCGGACTGCCGGACAGCTTCGGCCAGATGCCCATGCTGACAACGCTCGTGCTGCACAATCTGAACACCCATTTCCCTGGCTCGTGCAGCCGGCTGCAGTCTCTTGAGACGCTGATAGTCACGGACTGTGCGTATCTGCGCGAGCTACCAGACCCGCTGAGCGCCCTCACAGCGCTCAAGACCCTGTGCCTCGCGAATTCCCCCTTGCTCATTCTCCCTGACGACATCGGAGGCCTCACCAACCTCCACACGCTCTACCTGAAATCGTACAGGGCACGACATCTGCTTCCGCCCTCCTTCACCCGGCTCGCTTCACTCACAAGGCTCGAGCTGCATAAGTGTGAGCTGGCCGAGCTGCCAGAGGCCATGGGGGAGTTGACACGCCTGCGGGAGCTGTATGTGCTGTCCTGCTCTCGGATCCAGAGGCTCCCCGAGTCCGTGTCAGCCCTACTGAACCTAGAGGTGCTAGTGGTGGACAAGTGCAGCAGCCTGTTCTCAGTCCCCACGAGCCTCATGCATTTGTCAACACTGAAGCAGCTGGAGCTGACCGGCTGTGCGCTGCTGAGAAAGGCTCCAGAGTTCTTGCCGGGGTCGCTGGAAACGCTCAGGCTGGGGACCTATCCGGAGGTCACCCATCTGCCGGGTATCTATGCTCTTTCCAGCCTCAAGTCAGTCAGTTTGAGCATGGTGATTTTCCCCTCCGCTTTGTCCAGAAGCTTGTCTTCATTGGAGCACTTGCGTCTGGTGTTGGCATGTGAGGGCGAGCTCCCATTCCCATTGGCCGACCTGCCTCGTCTTCGCACCCTCGCACTCGTGAGCACCGGAGTCGTGAAGCTTCCAGACTTCTCCACCTCGACGCTGCAGGAGCTGCGTCAGCTGGAGATATGCTTGCCTGAGCTGACGGAGATCCCGTCAACCATCGCAGCTCTTCAGAAGCTCACAAACCTGGAGATCAACGCTCCTAAACTGCATGCGCTTCCCAATTCCATCAGGGCACTGTCCCGACTGTGCAAGCTGATTATGTCCAACTGCTTAGCGCTCGCGCATCTCCCTGCCTCTCTCACGCAGCTGGCATGCCTGCGCGAGCTGACCGTGCACAAGGCCGCCATCACATCCCTCCCTCCCAACTTTGCACGCCTCAGCCGGCTGCAAGCGCTCGACTTGGAGGGGTGCAAGCAGCTGGAGGCGCTGCCTGGCGATGTGGGCAAGCTGGAGCTGCTGGACCGTGTGGCTTTTACAGGGTGTGACAAGTTGCACGACAATGAAGGCATGCTGCGCTTTCCTGGGGGACATACGTCATATCGGTGGATGTACTACACGTAATTTTGGCATATCATTGACAGACCTACTGGTAATTGTCCATTCTAGTGGCAGACCCATTGTAGTGGCACCAGACGATCACATCTTGAGTATTGCAAGCAGATTCTGACGGAGAATTACCCTATTTGGTACACATGTTTTCGTATACAATACTGGATCGGAATTGTACCTTGCTCCAGCCATGCCTACGGCATGTACGTAAGATGAGCAGCTGTTGGAGTAATCTGTACATTATCTCAAGCAAAACAGATTTGTGCATCGGGTCTGGGTATGCATCCGCTTGTTCATAGAGGAGCATGCAGACTTCTTTCTGGAATAGAGGGTGTAACGGCAGCTTCTGGTGGTACCCTGCAGGATATAGGGAGGGTTCAAACTTTTGAACTTCAAAGAGATGAAAGCAGATTTGAGCAAGGAGAGACGTATGCGGGCGTGGAACAGTTTTCAGGATGTGAAGGCAAGATAGTGTGGTGCAGGAGAGGGTCTAGACAGGTTCGGATGCACATAGAAAGGTTCGGGAGACAAGCATGGTGCAAAGCGGTGACTGTGGGTGCATGCCATGCCTTGGACTGTCTTACATGGGAGAGAAGACAGAGAAGAGGGATAGGGGCGATTGGGGAGAGAAGGGAGGCAGAGGGAACACATGAAAATGGAGGATGGGGTGAATTGAGTGCGGCAGTGGTGTCTAGACAGGCGAAAAATTGAAGCATGGAACTAACTTAGTAGCTGCAGGTTCAGCCAAAGGTGATAGAGATTAGGAGCGGCTTCACCAGAACCAATTTTCGAGTCGACTGGAAAATTAGGCGGCTTCTGGATGGGGTGGATGGGGCGGATGGGGCACCTCGGGGGTGGGTGGGGTGGGGGTGGTGGGTTTGGGGAAGCGGGGAGAAGGGGGGAGGGGGGACGACTCCAAGTAATAAGCAGCTTGCGCATCACCATGCGGTCTGCTGGCCTACAGTCCTCACACAGAGGGGAAAGTGTGGCAGTGGCACAGAGGGGAAAGTGTGGCAGTGGCACAGAGGGGAAAGTGTGGGGGTGGTTTGAGACGTCTCAACGCTGGTGTGCCTGCTCCTCGGCATGCACTCACCCCACCCGCCAGCTGCAAACGAGCCTACCCGCTGCAGGTCCTGTACCTACCTGACCCAGACAAACGCTCCCCTGGTTTCCCCCTTGCCTGAACAGGCTGTGCCTCTCTATGAAAGCTCTTGGGCCCCTGCGCACATGCTGGTCGACGCCGCCAGGCCTGGGGGGTTGCACTTATGTGGAGAGCTGGCTCATGAAGAGGCAGGCTTAAGGGAGGCTGCACTAGCAACCGAATCCCTCTGCCTCCTGAGGGAGCTGGCTCCTCCAGGCAAGGGCCGGGTGAGGGAGTAGATGGTCGGGGGAGTGGGGTGGCAGAGAACAAAGGGGAAGTTTCCCAGTTTTTGCTTCTTCGACCTGGGTTTAGAAACCGAGCAATCGCCTCTTACGACCCCCATATCCCCTTATGCCCCAACGCCTGTTAACCTTTCATTATCCTGCCTATGCCCTCGTCCCCTGCCCTCAGTCACACGTAGGCGCGACCACTCGCGCATGTCCTGCCCCGGCACCCTTCATCCCCCCGTCTCCCCTAATCCTTCTTCCCCTCCTCCTTGTCCCCCCGTCGCTAAACAGAGTTAGTCCCACAATCATCCCTTGTCCCATGAGTCACCCTCGCATTTGCATGGTGGTCCCAGTAACTTGCGAGTGGGGCCACCCCTCTTTCCCATTTTGCGTCTTAACCGTCACCCTTTTGACCGAGCAATCGCCGTTCACAACCCCCACATCCCTTTATGCCCCCACTCCTGTGAACCCTGCGATATCATTCCCATCCCCTCGTCCCCTGCCCTCACTCACGCACAGGTGCGGCCACCGTGTCGCGCATGTCCTGCGCCAGCACCCTTTATCCACCCGTTTCCCTAACCCCAACTTCCCCTCCTCCCCGCCCCCCCACTGCTTAGGTATCATCCCCACAATCATCCCGTATCCCATGGCTCACTCAACTGCAGGCGCGCCGCTCGCCCATGTCCTGTGCCAGCTTGCGCAGCAGCATGCGGCCTGCTAGAGGGGGAGAGGGGAGAGGGGGAAGGCGGAACGACTTATAACCAGCTTGCGCTGCACCATGCGATCGATCTGCTATTGCTGGCACACAGCCCTCACACACCTCGTTGGGGAGGAGGGGGGGATTTGGAGAAGCGGGGCTGGGAGAAAGGGGGAAGAACGGCTTCAAGTTATGACCAGCTTACACAGCACCATGCGGTCTGCTGGCATGTGGTCCTCATACACGGCATGTGGCTGGGTGAGGAGACGGGCGGAAAGAGCACGGGGGAGAGGGAACAGAGGCACCATACGGTCTGCTGGTTTTTGAGAATTCTCAAAAAACAGGCACCATGCGGTCTGCTGGCACGCAGTTGTCAACACAGGCTTGTACGTCTAAAAAAAAAAAACCAACCAAAGCCCCCTTCCCTCCCCTTCTTTCTCCCCTCGCCCCACCTTTCCCCGCCCTCCCCACAACTATCCCCGCGCGACTCTCCCCTCGCCCCTGGCGCACCTTGAGGAAGGCGTCCGCGATCTCGCCGCGGAAGCACGTGCTTTCGTCCTCCATGGCCTCTTTCCCCCTTCACCCTCCCCTCCCCCAGTCCTCTCCCAACACTCTCCCTGCCCCCACATCTCCCCTTTCCCACAGCCACGTCCCCCTGCCTCGCCCGCACCTCGAGGAAGGCGTCTGCAATCTTGCAGCGGGACCACCCGCTCTCACTCTCCATGCCCATCTGCCACCGCCGCTCCGCCTCGTGCGGCCTCCTAGATCATCATGCCATCAGCACCAGCCATATCTGCAAGCACCTTTACTCGCAACAGGCGCACGGAGATTGGTGCGCGGCAGTAGAGAACGGGGGGGAGGGGAGGAGGGAGGGAGAAAACCGGGGGAAAGGGGGAAGACCGAGGGGGGGGGGGGAAGGGGGAAGATCGAAGCGAGAAAAGAAGGGGAATTGAGCGGAGCGCGCGAGCAACAAAAACGGGGAATGACGACCAAGGACGGACGGACAGCGACGGATAACGAAAGGCACGGGCCGACAATGACTGACGTGACCAACAATGACAGACAAACACAGCGAGAGCGCGTGCTCCTCCTACACCGCCATTTCAGATGAATGCTAGGGAACAAAATACAGACTCCAAATAGTTTCTCGAGACTACTGGACGCACCTGCTGCACCATCATGCCGCGATGCTCCTTGGCAGCTGGATGGTCTGCATGAGAGGACTGGGGGGTAGTAGCTCACCTGACTCTGTAGTATGTAACTAAGTCAGATGTACAGCCAAGACAGCAACAACTGGGCTAAGCTGGCAAAAGCGTTGCGGAAACAGTAATTGACAATTGGAACCTTACCTCACCATATCGAGCGCGGCTCGCATGAGCGCGACTCGCACCTCCATACCTTCCTCCTTTTTCCCCCCTCTTCTAGCCCCTCCTCCCCCCTTCCCCCCCTCCCCACTCCCCTCCTAGCCATCTCCCAGCCCTCTCCCTGGCCCCACATCTCCCCTTCCCCACGCCCACGTCTCCCTGTCCCTCAACCGCACCTGGAGGAAGGCATCGGCGATCTCTTCGCAGGAGAACCCGCTCTCATTCTCTATTCCCATCTGCCACCGCCGCTCCGCCTCGCGCGGGTTTGATCATCAGCGCCAGCCGCGTCTGCATGCACCGTTACGTGCCGCAGGCGCACAGAGATTGGTGCGGCGAGGTTGGTGCGCGGCAGGGTAGGGGGTGGGGGGAAGGGGGGGAATCGAGTTGAGGGCAGAAGGGAGGTGTTCTAAGCGCAAGAACGAGGAAGACTGACAATGGCGGACATGAGCAACAATAGCAGGCAGATATGGCGAGAGCGCGCGCTCCTCGTACACCACCATTTTGCGATGCAGGGATCGAAATGCAGACTAGAAGAAGTTTCTTGAGCCTGCTGGTCGGCTGGTGCACATGCGTGATCGCACCTCCTGCGCCGTCATGTCGCGACGCTCCTTGAGGGGCTCGATGGCCTGCATGGGAGGAGTGGGGGGTGGGAGCTCGATGATTTTGTAGTATGTAACGAACTCGAATCACAGCGAGACAGCGATTACTGAGTTAAGCTCACAAAAGTGTTTCACGGAAACAGTCCTGACAATCAGAATCTAGCCTATGAATCAAGCTCGACTCGCATGAGGGACTGCTGGTCGGGAGCTTGTCTGATAGCGGGGCTTAGCTCACACGAATGTTCCGCGAAAACAGTGAATTCTAGTGGCATGAAGAGAAACTGATGAGGAAAAAGAATGCAGAATTGGTGACTGACCTCGCGATTAGAAAAGGCAGCGGAACTGATAGTAAGGCGAAGATGTTTGGTGGTGGACCATTTCTCTCGATACGCGCGGAGGAAAGTAAGAATGTATTGGACGTGCACGTACTAAATCAACTAAATCACGTACTAAAACAGCGGGGAGTTCCAGCATTCTCTCATTGTGAGGCCAATGGTTCGCGAATGATGCACGAGTATAGTATGCGATTCTAGGACCTAGGATGCTAGTGTGGAGGTTGGATGGAAGGTAGTGTTCGAATTCCATTGTAGAATGTTGTCACAGCAGACTCAACGAGGAGCTGGTTCCGGTGCAAACTGTGTCGGCTCAGGTTCGGTTTGGCTAAAGTGGTAACGACACGAGGAATTGCACCCAGCCATGCAGCACCCAGCCATGCAGCACCCAGCCATACGTCACCTCAACAGGACACCGATTGTGCTCTGAGCAGGACGCACCTGATCGGGCAGAATGGTCAACGGCAAAGACGACGAAATGGCCGCCCGGAAGGGTACATGGCAAATGGATATTGCCTCGCAACACGTACAGAATGAGGATAAGGAGCAAAATCTGGTGACGAGCAGGGAGGGAACAAGCATGGGGAAAGGAGCAGGGAGGAAACAAGGAGCAGGGATTGAGCTATCCTTCCAGCAGCGTCGATGACTTATGAGAGTTGTCAAAAGCGGCGATGATGATGACGGTGCCGTTGCTCGTCATATTGACTCGCCATCGCTAGCTGCTCGTGCAGCTTCGACGCCCGCGATGCTCGGGAGGCCGCCTCTCGCAACCTACAATTTCGGCACTCGCAAAGCAGTTGGCGACGCACGGGACACTCGCTCGACTCACCGTCGCCAATAGGAAACATTAGGGATGACCGCCAACAGTGTTAGTGCTACTACCGCTGACTGGGCGAAAGTTTATGTTTCTATTAAGACTATCCAACAAGCAGGTGGAAGAATCATGGCCAGGAAAGTAAGAAATTGGCAGGAAGCTGCGGGAGGGAGGCCGGCAGAATAGAGCGCCGTTTCTTTCTCTGATGCCTCCTGCTGTCAATTGCGCATTCGTGCCTTTTGCGGCGGCGCCGTCGCGCAGGAGGGATTGTGGAAGGGCGAAGAAGGATGGGGAGTGGGAAGGAGGTGCGAAAGTGATGTCCCCTTCGTAATACGAATGTTCTACCACGTTCTGACATCCTGTAGCTAGTACGGATTAGCATCACATGCAAGTGCCATCTTGCCGATTTTCTAGTCAACTTGAAATTCGCACGATGGAACTCTATCAACTCTACCATATCGTTTTTGAGCACTTCACGATTTAAGGTCGCGATAAGGCAGGTCGCGGGCTGAGCAGTACGTCACGGGCTGAGCAGTAAGTAGTTCGCTATGTCGCCAGGTCGCCAAATCGCTGGTCGCTAGTGCCAATAATCCTCTTCAATAGCTACTTGCTCTTTGTATACTGGAAGATTTGCTGTAGGGTCCATTAGGGTTTCGATTCGTTCCGTTACTGTGAGAGAGAATGAAGAGGTCGGTGTTCGTCAAACAGGGTCAGCTGCTGTCCTGATTCGTCTAAGTCGCAGACCTGGCGGGATTTTTTGGTAGCTGGACACGCCCTGCTGGCATGCCACGCCACCATAGAAACTTGTCACCCTAGAAATCGCGAGAGAATGGTAACTTGACAGTCCATTCGCATCCGTCGGGATCCACACCACAATCCACGGCTGAATGGGAGGTCGCAACTCGCTAATTCCACGTCACCAACCCTGGTTGGGATGTTGGAGCCACGCAAGAGATCTGCAAAGAAATTTTGGCTAGGAACTGGGCGATCATCATCGCCCTCAACTCCCACCCTCACCTCCCTGCTGCTGTCTTCTCCACTTCATTTCCTAGCTTAGTAGCTTCCTCTCGGGATTCCTCGTCTGCTGGTAACACTATTTTTTTGGTTTAACCGTCTACAGATATTAGGCTGTAGAGTTAGGCTCGGCTCTGTGACGCACACAAGTTCACAAACGATTAAAAACAACCATTTCCTGGAATCGCTGCACCTCGATGGCAACTTCGGACGGCGCGGGGCGCCTCATTCGGCTCAGCTTACTCATCTTTCTGACGTGTCTCGCCGTGGTTTCTCCAGTCCGCTGTGTCCCGTTCGTCGACTCCCAAGGTTCGTCCGACGAACCTTTTGTTTCACCCCCGTACTATGTACTTGTTCTGCTAGATATACAGCTGTAGAGCAAATTTGTAACAAGATGGGATTCGCCATGCCTGCGTGCATGGGAATACCCGAACGGTTGGAACCTCCCTTTGCCTAGGTAGCTCCCTTTCCCTTATCCTCGTCAGTGATTAGATGTTACTAAAATCAAGCAGGACATGGCATCGAGGCGTTATGCCAAGATGCCATGCTAGATTGAGTGGCGATACGGTTTTCCTCCAAGTCGCCATCCCTTCTTCCTAGCATTAATATCCACCTCAAAATCTTGTATTGTAATCTCATCCTATTCTATCCTTGGAGTCTTTAATCCTATCTTTTTGAAAGTCTTCTTCTCTCTTCTCTCATCTACCGTAGACGTGACGTCTCCAGAGCTGGGCTTCTCCCTCCAGCCTAGCTCCCTTTTCTTCTGCTGCAAGACTCTCCTCTTATTCTTTCTTAGCTAAGGCGCCTCTCCTTAGGCGCTGGGCCGGCCAGGCCAGCCGCGCCGTGCATCGCTGCGCCATAGCTCCTGTTTCAAAAGTGAATGTAGCAGAACCTAATAGTACATAGTATGGGGGCCAACAATGTTGGGATCCTTGAAAAACGAGCTTAGCAATCAGTGTCCCGCCCTCGACCCCCACCACCTAATCTTCCTGTATCTGTTGGCTGATAAATCTCATGTCTTCTGGATCCTTGGTGATTGTAGTATGATGCATTCCAGCAAGGGTTCCATGGAGGCTCACACACCACGATGGCACCACCATGACGCGGACGCATTCGGCTTGGTTGCCAGCGTGCGTCACACAGATCTACGGAGTTTCCGCTGTGTTTCCTTTGGTTGAGCTCATGCCGCACGAGCAAAATGTCATGCACGACTATTGTGGGTTCAGCAGTGGCACCAACCATGCCACAGCGGCGGATCATCAAAGTCAAATGACGCTATCGGCGATAGCGATGAGCATGAAAGCGGGCCAGGGCCCGCCCGGGTCGGGCCCGCCCGGAAATGCCTCAGGCCGGGCATCATAATTTTGACGTGGGCCCGAGGCGGGCCGGGCTGGCCTGGCCCGCCGGGCCGCAACCACCCGATTTTGGCCCGCCCATGTACGGGCCGGGTCGGGCGGGCCGCATCGGAGCACAAAAATACAACAGAAACAGCCCAAAAATACATACTGTGGGCGATTATGACAGCACCCGGGCCAGGCTGGGCCGGCCCGGGTTGGGCCATGCAAAGCCCGAGTCGGGCCGGGCATGGCCCGCCCGCCTTGAGGGCGGGCTCGGGCCAAGAGTTTCCTTCTATGGCCCGGATCAGGCCGGGCCAACCCTGCCCGCTTTTTTGCGCAGCCCGGGGTGGGCCCGACCCGGGCCGGGCCCGGCCCGCCTGGTGCTCAACGATAGCCTATCGCATGTATCCATCAGAATCGTGTTTCTATTAGAATAGTTTTCCAACGCCTGGTGCTTAGAAGCTTGTTCGACCAATTTCAAGTTTGACATTGCACCTCTCTGCTCTACTGATGTCTGGTGCAGGGGTTGAAAGAGGGAGGGAAAGCCATACGAAGCGTTGATGAGCTGATACATTCATCTCTTCTTTTTCCTGCTCCATTGCAGCCTCTTTCCTCCCTGCTAGCGCAATCAGTGCAACTCCTGCTGGCTGGAATTCCAGCAAGCATAGGGTGGGGATTTGATGTATGGGTGGCTTGCTGCCATGGATGGATGCAGCAATACCAGGGCGTTGTGGCTCATTTACGACCACGAGTACTAGTATTTGTAGTAAAATAACTTGGTGGAGTGCCTAAAAGAGCTCAGGAATGCTCATGCCCAACGATATATGCCTCCTATTTGATCTCGTTACTGTTTACACCTCTTATCTTATGTCGTTATCAACGGATAAGTCAGTGGCCACGGCATGCCCATGCTCCCATGCGCACAATGCTTATCGTTGTGGCACTTTTAATCTGCGAGTCACAGTAGTTACTTCACCATCGCATGCGTCCATTCCGCACTTGTGGAACAGGCTGATGAGTGAGGGAGGAAGAGAAGGGTGCAACACGCAGGTGATGAGAGCCAATTTATCCCTCCTCTGTTCCCTGCCCCAGCCTCTATCCTTCTCTTGCCCTCCTGCACCCCTCTCCCCCACCATTTGCCGCCAGTGCGAGTCCTGCAGGACTTGCAGCAAG